TACTAGGAATTCCCAAGTCCATGCTCCCCCACTCAGGCTGAACCTCATGGCTACCGTGGCTTGGGGCTGAGGCATGCCAGGCCACGACAGAGGGCCATTCCTGTAAAAGGAAATTCTCTCCACTACTGCCCTAAATATCTACATGCATTTTGGAGTCATTTCAGAATGTAATTATTTTTCTATTAAACTATGACATAGAACCACTCAGACAAGATTAAAATATTTTCTCCTTCAAATTTTTAATCAGATCGCATCTTAACTCCTGTTTAAAGCATATGCTAACATACTTATAACTAACTGTTTCCTCTCTAATATTTCAATATAACAGATACCTTACCCTTAATTTTACTAAAAATGTATTTCCATGGTTGTGTTTCTTCACTTGTATATTTTCTTATACTGAGAAGAAAATGACCAAATATATGCCTGAGGAATTGTAAGAATATTGATCCTGCTGTTGCAGTGCAATGGATATCAAATCCAAGCAGCCATCTCTTGGCTGCCCTTGGCAGAGCATGTCTTGAAAGTCAGGGAGTATTGCCCATAATTGCTGCAAACCCCAGTTGTTAGACCCCCGAAAACTCAAGTCTCCGGGGTCCCAGGCCACGTTCTCGGTCATCCAAACACCAGGCAGATTCGAAAGCTTGCTGCAAACTGCACGAGGCTTTATTGTAATTTAACGAGCTAACCCCATGTTAGCTCGGGTCTTTCACCCACCCGCCATGGTGGATGGCTAGCAAAAGACGGCTCCTAGGGGCTCCCGAGAGATCTTATAGGACAGCCTAAGGGGAGTGTCTAGGGGTACGTACAGGCTCAGGATTGGTGTGCCTCCAGGATTGGAGGGCTTGCCCTGTGTTGATTGGTCAACTGGTTGTTATGGCCCATAGGCCCTCCCAGGGTGGTTGCTATGCTCTGTGTCATTGCTGTGTGCTTGTCCGTAAAGTACACCCAGGGTCGTAAAGCATAGTGCCACCAGCTAACTTCTGATTGGTTACTTGTCACGAGGCAGGCATCTGACTTTCTAGTGTCTAGAACAAGGTCATAGAAGCATGTGTTTGAGAGCATAGCAACCACCCTGGGAGGGCTTATGGGCCATAACAACCAGTTGACCAATCAACACAGGGCAACACCTCCAAGCCTGGAGGCACACCAATCCTGAGCCTGTGCATATCCCTAGACACTCCCCTTACGCTGCCCTATAAAGATCTGTACGCAGCAGCTTTGAACTGTCTTCGCTAACCATCCGCCATGGTGGGTGGGTCAAAGACCCGAGCTAACATGGGGTTAGCTCATTAAACTACAATAAAGCCTCATGCAATTTGCATCAAGCTTTTGCCTCCATTCTGTGATTGGGGTGGCCGAGGTCCTGGGCTAAGATCCTGGAAGGCTTAGCTTTTCCAAGTGTCTTACAGATCCATGTTTAAAGGTAGTTGAGTTTTAAACCTAGAAACTGAATAAGGGAACAATTTTAAATTACTGAAGTGTGTATATATGTGTATGCATGCATATGTGCTTGTTTTTGAGATAAATTGTGTTTATACACATGAGATCATATTTCTCTGTCTATATGCATACATACGTGTGTGTGTATGTATGTGTGTGTGTGTGTGAGAGAGAGAGAGAGAGAGAGAGAGAGAAGAGAGAGAGAGAGAGAGAGAAAGAGAGAGAGAGAGTACCCACATGCACTAGGGCCTTGTGCAAGCTAGATAACTACCTTACCACTGAGCTATATAAACAGCCTTCAATTTAATTTTGAGATAGAGTCTCAAAAAGTTCCCAATCTAGCTTTAAGCTCACTCACACCTCAGGCAGTCAAGATTCCCTTGCCTTAGTACTGAGTAGCTATGGATGGATATGGTGTGTGTGTGTGTGTGTGTATGTATGTATGTATGTATGTATGTGTGTGTGTACATATATATTCTTTTTCTGTAGCTAGTTCCTAGTGAACAGTGATTTTAGGAGGCATATTCTCACACAGGATTTCTTAGGTCATAGATACAATCTTCACTCTGACTTACTTCCATATGTTTTATCAACAGATGAGAATGATATGATGAGACTATGATGAAGAGGAAATTTACCTTTACCTGAAGAACAATCTCATACTGCAAACAAAAATACAAATGACTCATGGACAGGGTCTGTTAGACCCCCGTAAAACTCAGGTATCCGGGGTCCCAGGCCATGACCTCGGTCACCCCAATCACCAGGCGGATTCGAGAGCTTGATGCAAACTACACGAGGCTTTATTGTAATTTAACGAGCTAGCCCCATGTTAGCTCGGGTCTTTCACCCACCCGCCATACAGATGGCTAGCAAAGACAAGAACTAGGGCCTCCCAAAAGCTCTTGCAGGGCAGCGTAAGGGGAGTGTCTAGGGGTACGCACAGGCTCACTATTGGTGTGCTTCCAGCCTTGGAGGGCTTGCCCTGTGTTGATTGGTCAACTGGTTGTTATGGCCCATAAGCCCTCCCAGGGTGGTTGCTATGCTCTGCGTCATTGCTGTGTGCTTGTCCGTAAAGTACACCCAGGGTCGTAAAGCATAGTGCCACCAGCTAACTTCTGATTGGTTACTTGTCACGAGGTAGGCATCTGACCTCTAAGTTACCAAGGCAAGGTTATGGCAAGCATGTGTTCGGCTGTTATGGCTGCCGAAAGGGGAGCTGGTCCCTTCAGGTCCTGTGCTATAAACACTGTGTTTTTTAAGATGCTTAAATGAAATTGAAGTAGAATTTGCATTAGATCTTGAATAAGAAGAACACATTTGAACATTAATCATCTGCAGAAACTCTTTTTTTTTGTTTTGTTTTTTATCATTTTTATTTGAATTAGAAACAAGATTGATTTACATGACAATCCCAGTTCCCTTCTCCCTTCCTTCCTCCCTACCACCCCCCCAACTAAAACCCTACCTATCTCATACCCTTTCTTCTATTCTTCACCTGACTCAACCTTTCTGCTCCCTCAAGACATCACTGTAGAAACTCTTAGTTGATATTCAGCCACTTCAAAAGTATCATACTGCAGGCTACATTTTATTTATCCATGTCACTGTAAAATGATGGAAGCCAAATAATACACCAAACTTCAAAGACCCACTATACTAGAGTGCTGAACTTACTGCTTTGTTTTTATAATTTATTCTTTTGTTTATGTGTAGACAAAGAGTACTTAAATCAAAAGTGGCTCTAATAGCTTCCTTCAGTTCATCTCTAGTGCATTGATCCTTATTTTGGTATCACAAAAATTTGACACATAATTTTGTGCCTATCAAAATAGATGATCAAAAAACGTCCAGTTTTGTTTTCCCCCAAAAAAAATATCCTGCCAAAATCAAGGTTGGATCAAATGCACCAAATATGTAATTAATACTGAAAAAAGTTATATTGTCACTCGTATAGAACTTGATTTGGGACCACATATTAGAAGATCAGTTACAACAACATGATATCAAAGGTCATAAAGCTGTGGGAAAAGCCAACAGTTGGTGTATTTGACCATTCCTTTTTAAAATCATGTTAAAAGTTGACTGGTAATATTAATTTCATTAGATATTATTCAAGTCATTGAAATTGCTAATTTCTACTCTTTTCTGTGGGTTTTCATTTAATGTAGCAATTTTTACATGAGAAAATCACCATGGTCCTTTATAACAGTACAAAAATCATACACCTTGCACTTGAATCATAAAATCAATTTTTTAAGAATTAAAGTACTTATGAGAATCATTAACTCATGAATAAGTTTTAAGAAAGTACTACTATTCTATAAATGATGATTTATAAAATAATCTTATCACAAATTACTACACATGCACTCTAGACAAGAAGAACTCATGTTATATTAAGAGGGAGACAGGAGGGAGAGAAGGAGAGAGGGAGAGAGAGAGAGACCGAGAGAGCTTTATCTATAATTTGAAGGCAGGAGAAGAATCACATGTCCAGTCCCAAACTGAGCTGTATAATGAAACTTTCTCTAAAGAAAGAGTAAAAGAAGGAAGAAAAAGGGAAAAAATAATGAATATGAAGTGACTGTCTTAGGGTTTCTATTGCTGTGGCAAAACACCATGACCAAAAAGTAAGTTGGAGTAATGTGTTTATTTGGCTTATACTTCCATATTGCTGTTAATCATCAAAGTAAGTCAGACAAGAATTCAAATAGGGCAAGAACCTAGAGATAGGAGCTGATGAAGAGGCCAAGTATGGGTGTTGCTTATTGGTTTACTATGCATGGCTTTCTTATAGAATTCAGGACATTCTTCTTACAGAACTTAGGGTCACCAGCCCAGGGATGGCATCACCCACAATGGGCTGGGCCTTCTCCCATCAATCACTAATGAATAAAATGCTTTATAGCTGGATCTTCTGGAGGCATTTTTTCATGGTTCCTTCCTTTCAGATAACTCTAATTTGTGTGTCAAGTTGACTTAAGACTAACAAGCACAGTGACCTTTCTTATAAAATATATTTTAAAAATTAAATATATATGTATAAGTAATAAAAATAATAAAAGTGATGGCTAAAATATACAAAACAAATTATCAGTAAAATTAAATAAAAGGTTAAAAGAGAAAAGGTAAGAAATAAATTACATTGTGAAGACAGCCAAACTGTGTTTCTCATAAGAATACAAAAAAGAAAAGAAGCATTTTTGAGGAATTCATTAAATTCTTTTACTAAGCAATGTGGGAATAACTGGTACAGGTTAGGATCAGAGTGGAATTGAAGCTGAAGAGAGTCTATGACAATATTCTTCTGTCTTTTGAGACTTCTGAGTATATAGTTCATCTGAATTAATTGAATGAAGCATACATTTTACAAGGAAAGAAAAGAAGTCATTCATGCTAGCATCCAGAGGATAAAGTGGGTCTAGGGAAAAACCTCCAGAGAACCAATTATCAGTTTCTAAATTTAAACATTCTGTGTGAAACATTTTCATTAAGGAATATAAATGTAGACGCTGAAAGTGACTGTTTCCTCCGTTACTGTTCAAATATAGTACCTTGCCTGACCCAGTCTCAATGATGAAGTGTGTGCTGTAATATGTAGCAACATTTGTGACATCCAGAGAGCAAGTCTGCCCAGTCGATGGTCATTGTTGCTTCTTCATCATCACATGCATTAGCAGGCCGTTCAAAAAGGGAAATGACAGCTGCTGTGAAAACTATCACTTGAACCTTGAATCATTGAAAGAGAAACAAACACAGAAAGTATAAGTGCTAGACAATGGTTCTAAGTCCTTTAAGATTAACAAGAAATAGATCATGAGTTTGAAAGATGTTACCCAATAATATTACTTAAAGCATACAAGCAATGACAGTAGAACTACTGCACAGTTGGTTAAGTGGTTTCCAAGCACAGCTTTTCATTTTAAAAAAGGACTTGCCACTGAAAACACTAAGAATGGAAGCTTTCACAATCATGAAAGAGAATTGATTGTTCAAGCCTCTTCAGTGTCTGGCTCACTCCAATGTCATTGAGTAAGTGATTATTTCTCTCATCTAAACTGCAATTTCAAAGAAGGAAAAATGGCTGTATCCAATGTCACAGGTTCAATGTTACCATTTTTTTCATGCCTCTATTCCTTTGTTATGTGATACAAAAAATGAACACTTTCTTGGCCGTCTGATAATGTACATCCTGCAAATCAAAACAATTAACTTGAATGGTCCATGGGAAGTTAGTTAAGACATTTAATAGTCAACATTTATTAATATTAGGATCTAATATATAAATTATTTTATAACATAAAGTTTGTAAGTTTATAAACTAGAAAAATATGACTACAAATAGGCCAGAAGATCATATGAAGTCCTGTATTTTATCACTAAAAAGTGGAATTGTAGTATCACCCATCTCTCCCTTGTCTAATGGGTATAGCCTCAAAATTTGTAACACATAAATTCATACTCAAGGCATTTTAATTTCTACTTTTCGATAAAGCTTGAGGATTAAATGCTTATTGTGAGGTTTTATCTTCACTCACTTACCTTTCCAGTTATATCCCCAAAAGAAAGGATGGATTCTTTAGGATCAAGAGGATCATACCAATAATCCATGCAAATGGGAGTTCCTCTCAGGCCTTGGAGTTTATATTGACAAGGAAATTCTTCTTTGGACAGTAGATCATAGAAACAAATCTCTCTGCTTGTAAAAGCCACTGCTATCTAGAGGAACCAAGTAGAATATTTATGGTGGATTTAGTGAAATTAATATACAAAGCAAGCATGCAAATCTAATTCCCAAATGAGTCATAGTACTCTGAGAGTTGTTATAGTATTATGGAAGTATGCATAGCACAAATGTATTTAATTCTAACATTGGACTGTAGCCAAAAATCAAGCCAAAACAAAATACTTTCATCATGAAAGTCATAATTTTTTAATATTTCAATTATGCATCCACCAGCATCCTTCATCCCTAAGAATGTTGACAATTAGCCACATAAGAAATGAAAATGATATGAGCCATTCACTCTGTGATGTCATCTTAAGACAAGACAAGGGCTCTGGAAAGCAGATACTTCTGCGCATATTCCCTCCAGGTAAGATGAGTGTCACCAACGATGAATGTGGCTCTCTGTCACTGCTGGTGTTGCACTTGCTACTGGCCAGGGGCTCTCTTCAATAATTTTCTCATCTTTGTCACAAGTAGCAAGTGTATATACAAAGATTTTGTACCTTGTTAACATTTTCCAGAGAAACCAAACTTGTCACCCAGAGGTGTTTGAGTTTGGCAGCATCTGCAGTGATAGGAAGTGCTTTTTGCAACTTCAAGTTCTCTCCCCAGACTCCTAGTAAGCCTTCCTTGCTAATAGTCAAATAACGACTTGAACTTTTTAAGAAAACTACTTTCTGAATGGTATCCTTGTGTTTTCCTGGGAGGAACTCAAGATCCTTCCATTGGGGAACCACTGTTGCCTTTTCTCGTTCATCTCTTTCATAAAGCGATAGAAGGATAAATGAAGTCAGCTTGTCCCAGCCAATGAAGCCATCCCGGGCCACATCCACTTTGTCAAAGAGTTCTTCAAATTCTTCCTTTGTGCCACAACCTACAGTCTCTGTCATCTTCTGTATGAATTCTTCCCTGGGCATACAAATGGTTTGATCTTGGGACTAGAAATGGGAACAGAGAAAAGTAAAACAACAGAAAAATCATCACACAGAGAAAAGCAGTGTGCTGCATCATGGTTGAATTTAGTCAGCAGTTCTTGCAGCGTGGGAAGAAAGCATCTTCTATTTTAGAGTGGTGTTATACTTACATGGATTTTGGTGGGAGAGACAAATAATTTATAGTGTTAGAAACTGTATTCACAATCACAGTGTTGCAGGAGAATTGGAGAAAATGTGTTGATAAAAAGCAAGGATTGCAGAAATGTGAAACATTAGCAATGAAGCTGGAAAGGGCAAGGAATCAATTCAGAAGGGAAAGTCATTCTGATAACAACTTTGTTAGCCCAGCAAATCTCATTTTGGACTTCTGACTATCAAAATGTAAATTAATAAAATGGCATATGTAAGCAATTAAGTTGGTGGTGATGTTTTATAGATGCAACAGGAAACAAATGTAGAAGAATGGATGAATCCTTGAAAAAGTTTGGTAGAGCAAGACTACAACATACCAAATAATGCCCAACTGAGTCACCCGTGGGTCAAAGAAGAAATAAAGAAAGAAGTTAAAGATTTCCTTTAATTCAATGAAAATGAATGTACAACATACCCAAACTTATGGGATACTATAAAAGCAGTGCTAAGAGGAAAGTACATAGCACTAAACGCATAAATATATAAAGTAGTTGGAGAAATCCCACACTAGTGAATTAACAAACACCTGAAAGCTCTAGAACAAAAAGAAGCAAACTCACCCTAGAGGAGTAGATGACAGGAAATAATCAAATTGAGGATTGAAATCAATAAAATAGAAACAAAGAGAATAATAGAAATAATCAATGAAACAAAGAGTTATATCTTTGAGAAATTCAACAAGATAGAAAAAGCATTATCCAAACTAACCAAAAGACAGAGAAAGAATATCCAAATTAACAAAATCAGAAATAAAAAGGGGGACATGACAACAGACACTGAGGAAATCCAGAGAATCATTGGGTCATACTTCAAAAACCTGTACTCCACAAAATAGAAAAAAATTAAATAAATGTACAGTTTTCTGGATAGGTTCCACATGCCAAAATTAAATCAAGACCAGATAAACAATTTAAATAGAAATATAACCCCTAAAGCAATAAAAGCAGCAGTCATTAAAAGTTGATGCCCACCCCCCCAAAAAAAAACAGGACCAGATGACTTCCGCACAGAATGCACCACAATTTCAAAGAAGAGCTAACTCCAATACTCAAATTGTTTCACACAATTGAAACAGACTGAACTGTCAAACTCCTTTTATGAGGCTACAGCAACCTGATATGCAAACCACACAAAGATGCAACAAAGAAAGAGAGCTATAGACCAATCTCCTTCATGAACATTGATGCAAAAATGTTCAATAAAATACTGGCAAACTGAATCCAAGAACACATTAAAAAAAACATCCACCATGATCAAATAGACCTCATCCCAGACATACAGGGTTGATTCAACATGTGGAAATCCATCAGGGTAATCCACCACGTAAACAAACTGAAAGAAAGAACCACATGATCATTTCATTAGATTCTGAAAAGCCCTTCAACAAAATACAACATCCCTTCATGACAAATGTCTTGTAGAGAGCAGGGATACATGGACCATAATAAATATAATAAAAGCAGTATACAGCAAGCCAACAGCCAACGTAAAATTAAATGGAGAGAAACTCAAAATGATTCCACTAAAATCAAGAACAAGACAAGGCTGTCTACTCTTCTATATCTCTTCAATATTGTGCTCAAAGTTATCACTAGAGCAATAAAACAAAAAAGGAGATCAAGGGGATACAAATTGTAAAGGAAGAAGTCAAAATATAACCATTTGCAGATGATATGATAGTATACATAAGTAACCCCAAAAACTCTACCCAGGAACTACTACAGCTGATAAACACATTCAGTAATGTGGCAGGATGCAGAATTAACTCAAAAAATCAGTAACCCTCCTATATACAAATGATAAATGTGCTGAAAAAGAAAAAAAGGAACTCAATTAACAATAGTCACAAATATAAAATAGCTTGGGGTAACTAACCAAACAAGTGAAAGACCTATATGACAAGAACTTTAAATCCCAAAGAAAGAAAGAAATTGAAGAAAATATCAGAAAATGGAAAGATATCCCATGCTCTTGGATAAGTAGGATCAACATAATAAAAGTGGCAATTCTACCAAAAAGCAATCTACAAAGTTAATGCAATCCCCATCAGCATCCCAACAAAATTCTTCACAGACCTTGAAAAAAATACTCAATTTCATATGAAAAATAAAAAAAAAACAGAACAGCTGAAACAATCCTGTACAATAAAGGTACTTCCAGAGGCATCACCATCCCTGACTTCAAACTCTACTAACGAGCTATAGTAATAAAAATGGCTTGGTTTTTGGCATAAAAACTGACAGGTGGATCAATGGAAGCAAATCAAAGTCCATGACATTAATCCACACACCTATGAACACCTAATTTTTAAGAAAGAAGTCAAAATATTACAATGGAAAAAGGAAGACATCTTTAACAAATGGTCCTGGCATAACTGGATATCAAAATGTAGAAGATTGAAAATACATCTGCATTTATAGCTATGAACAAAATTCAAATCCAAGTGGATCAAGGATTTCAACATAAATCCAGCTACATTGAACCTGATAGAGGAGAAAGTGGGGAGCAGCCTTGAATATGTTGGCAAAGGAGACCACTTCCTAAATATAACACCAGTAGCACAGACACTGAAAGCAATAATCAATAAACAGAACCTCCTGAAACTGAAAAGCTTCTATAAGGCAAAGGACACTGCCAACAAGACAAATGGCAGCCTACAGAGTGGGAAAAGGTCTTCACCAACCTGACATCTGACAGAGGACTGCTCTCCAATATGTGTAAAGAACTCAAAAACTAGACATCAAAATACAAAATAACCCAATTGAAAAATAGGGTACAGAGCTAAGCACAGAATTCTCACCAGAAGACTCTCAAATGGTCAAAAGACATTTATGGAAGTGGTCAACATTCTTAGTCAATACCATCTTGAACCTGCCAGAATGGCTAAGATAAAGACTACTGAGGACAGCTTATGTTGGAGAGGATGTGGATTCAGGGGAACACTCCTCCACTGCTGGTGGGAGTGTAAACTTGTACAGCTATATTGGAAATCAGTATGTAGGTTTCTCAGAAAATTAAGAATCAAACTCCCTGAAGATCCAGTGATATCACTCTTGGGCATATACCCAAAGGATGCTCAAGAATACCACAAGGACATTTGCTCAACAATTTTAATAGCAGCATTATTCGTAATAGCCAGAAACTGGAAACAACCTAGATGCCCCCAACCGAACAATGGATAAAGAAAATGTGGTTCATTTACACAATGGAGTACTACTTAGCTATTAAAAGTGATGAACTCATCTAATTTTTCAGGCAAATGGATGGAACTAGAAAAAAACAACCTGAGTGAGGGAACCCAGACTCAGAAAGACAAATATGATATGTATTCACTCATAAGTGGATACTAGGTGTAAAATAAAGGACAACCAGACTACATTTCATAGCTCCAGAGAAGCTAGGTATCAAGGAGGATCCTAATAGGGACTCATGAATCACCCTGGGAAGGGAAATTAGATGAGATCTGCTGGATAAACTGGGGCAAGGGAGGTGGTAAAGGAGAGGCAAGTGAGGATGAGAACAAAATGGGATGGTCGAGGGTGGAAGATATGCAGTGGAAGAGCAATGAAAAAGATATCTGAATAGAGACAGCACTATGGAGGTAGGAATAAATCTGGTGATAAGGTAATTGCTAAGATGACCCCAGTTAAAACACCTCTTAGTAGTGGAAAGGATGCTCAAACAGGCCTACCCCTGTAATCAGATGGGTGAATACCCCAACTATCTTCATACAGCCTTCATCCAGTAATTGATGGAATCAGATGCAGAGATCCACAACCAAGAACCATGTTGAGCTCTGGTAATAGAGTCGAAGATAGGGAGTAAGGAATGAATATATGAGAAAGTGAGGAAAAGAGCACGATGGAAAAATCTACAGAGACAGCTGAACCAAGCTTGTGGAAACTCATGAACTCTAGAGTGATGGCTGTAGAGGCTCCAGGGGACAAAACTAGGTCCTCTGTATGTGGTAGACAGTTGTGAAGCTTGGACTACCTGAAGGGGCCCCTGGCAGTAGGACCATGATACAAACCTGATACATGAGCTAGCTTGTTTGAGCCCATTCCCTGTGGTGGGATGCCATACTCAACCTTAACACATGGGAGAGGGCCTTGGCCCTGTCCAAAATTATTGTGTCAGACGTTGTTGACTCCTTATGGGAGTCCTTATGCTTGAGGAGGACTGGACTGGGGGTAAGCAGGGGGCAAGGTAAGGTGGGGTAGGAGGATAGGTGGGAGAGAGACCTGCAGTTGGAATATAAAATTAAATTTAAAAGAATACATAAATTGGTGTGGGGCTCCAGTAAGATAAACTGTGTGAGAAATTGTTAATTACATTCAGCATCAATTATTATTGTTGTAGATGTAGATGAAGCCACATTAAACTAAATTTAGATACATTCATATATTTAGTACAGATAGGGAAATATTAGGAACTTGAGGGGAATTTATTTAATTATAAAACAGTATTAAATAACTAGTTCACATTATTTAAGAGAAAGTTGAGTCACTATAGCTTTAGTAAAGCTATCCTCACAAGAGAATGTGTTCATTTTAGTTTAAAAGTGAAATTTTTAAATAAAACTATTTCATGATGTATTTACAAACACATCTTTTTACTGCTCTTAGCATCCAGTCCAGCCTTCTTGAACTAAAAAGTTAATGCTCTTGCCTCTCATAACATCTTCTCTAATTCTGATAAAATTTACATGGAATTGGGGAACAGTCATTCTGCTGAACATGACATTTAAAATTATTTGCCATGTCTATTTCTTAAGAAAACACCCAGTTACTGAATCTAGTTCCTA